TCTCTCTCTCTCCTCTCTCTCTCTCTCTCTCTCTCCCCCGTACTCGTTTCCTCGTCCTTGTCTTATTGTCAATTTGTTTAGTTTTGGTTGCTTGTCTGTTTCAAGTTACATGCGTGCGTACTCCATAGAGAGCGGGCCCTTCGTTCTTCACCTTTCTTTCACCTTTCATCGGGAGTAAGGTGGTCCTCTCATTACTCGTACAACCTACGTCGTGCGTGCGTGGATTTCAGGGTTCAGCAGCTTGCTTGCTTGCTTGCTTGCTTGGAATTCAGGCCGGGGGACGGGTCTCGTCTCGTAAGGCTGGCCAGCATGGGAAGCACGATTAGGTGGATAAGGTAGTTAATATTATCTGACATATACCGTACCTACCGTACACTCCTCCTCTGTCCAGCTTGTGCTTTTCTTCTTCTTGGGAGCTTAGCTTTCTCCCATGCACGAAGGGTGCGTTCGTTGGATCTCCCCTGCGGCTCGGTCTGGTGTACCGGTAGGAACATCTCCGGTCTTGGTGCCAAGTGGATAAATGGATAGCCCAGTACCGACTACAGAGCAGTAGTACAGTAGTATCTGTGTGGGATCGATTTTAGCCGGATGCGGATTCAAAGAGACGGTTCATGTCGGTCGTTGGGAGAGTATATTTTCTTTTCCTTACGAGGGAGACCTAGGCAGGCATACACTCAACGACTGGGATGACAGTTGAAGCGTGTTTGTTGGGAATGAGTCATTGGCAAAGGCCGATCTCCATCATCCTCTTCTTTACTGGATATATCATGATCATACCTACTCTACTGTATCTATCTTGTGGGGGGGGGGGAGAAGAGAGGAGAAGAGAAGCCGAGAGAGGGGTACCGACTCTTTCTTCTTACTCTATCATCCCCCTTTTCCTTTCTTTCACGACACCGACACCGACACCGACACCGACACCGACACCGACACCGCTCCTGCCCCTCCTGCTCACCGCAATGCTGGTATCAAGCGTCCGGGCGAGGAGAATCCTCTTATCTCCCTCCATCTGCATAATCTCGATACACGTGAAGAAAGCTAGTTGTATATGTATATGTACCGGTATATGTATATGAATATGTAAACTCCGTAGGTACGTAGTACGTAGTACGTACTGTAGTATGTGTATGCATGCGCGCATACCGCTTCATCATCCCCATCCATCCATCCATCCATCCATCCACCCACCCCCTTCAAACACGTTACTGCACGTGCCAACAAAAGCTTGTCTGGAAGAGACCGCTCTTTTAGTCGGCTCCACACCAAATCCCGATTCCTGCTGTACGCACGTACTACGTAGTACTGTAGTATCTCTCCCGCCGCTTTGACTACCGGTACACCCAGCAATTCCGTCACACACACCACACCACACCAGCCGCACAGCCAGCTTCTAGACTCCGGAAAAAGAACTGGGACGCGAAAAGTCGAATTGTGGACCTGCGCCTGCATAGCGCCACAGCTAGAAAATAAAACGGGCTGCCCCGATTCCGCACGCCGTCCGGCTTTAGAACGGCTTTAGAACGGCTTTAGAAGGACCAGCGACGACGAGTGTGTGTGTGTGTGTGTGTGTGTGTGTGTGTGCGAGAATGTCAATAACAAACAACACAACCAAGGCAAGGGTCCCTCCCCCGCCCCCAACTTTGACATGTTAGCTGTACAATAGAGTACTACTACTATATTTCCCGAGATAGGGTTTTCGTCCTCTGCAGAATCATGACGCTGCGCTGCATCGAGAGAAAAAAAAGGTAAAGAAATAAAAGAAATAAAAGAAATCAAAGGGAAAAAAGAAACTTCCCGATTCAAAGATTCTTC